GGGTTTAGGGTTTGGGGGTCGGGGGTTTAGGGTTTAGGGCAGGCCCGAAGCGCTTCAGACGTGTGAGCCTTTGGTGCACGGGGCTTGGGCCTTTGAAGCTCTTTGCCCAGGCCGGACGGGCTATCAGCGATGGCACGGAAGGAGGTCTCTGGGTTATCCTGCAGAACTGTCCGGCTCTCGGGTGCTTGTGCTCCTGCACTCTGGCCCCAGTTTCTCACCTGAGGCCACCTGGCACCGTCTTGGATGCCAACCTTGGAAGTGATGGTCGAAGAGCTGGACCCGGACAAGGTACTTCCCGGGATCGATGGTGCAGTGTCATCCTTTGTCTGGTCTGCTCGCCCTTCGGACTTGCGAGGTGAATGAGCAGTTCCGCTTGTGGCTGCACGGGCCTCGCAGCGACAGAAGCAGGATCCAGAGTGCAAATGTCGGGGTGGGCAGGACGTCGATGCCATCATCGGAGTTTCCCATTTCCGTGTTGCAAAACGGCATGAAGATGACCATCGAGCCACCGAAAGGCCTGATCGAACGGCGCTTGTTGGTCTTGGGATGCACCATGGGATGCACCAGATTGATCGCTGCCTTGCGTTCTGTCGGCCTATATTCTGAAAAACGGGCCGTCAAACTTATCGTCTACGAGTTGCGTACAGGTCTGAAGTCAAACTTGCTCCGTGCATTCTCCTCCATTGACCCGGACTGGCGGTGCACCCAGAACACCTCAAAATGCCGGTGATGCTGCTTATGGAAGTCTTGACAAGTCCTGGAAGCTGTTGGTACCAAGGTTTGCCGAAGCATGCACCAGGAGCACAGAGTGCAAGCAAACCTTCAGGCCAGTGAGCTTCCTTGGCCTTGTTTGCCAATGTCCTTGCTCTGGTAGACGGGCTGGTTGGTGGAGGTAGCTGGGGGAAGACCCAACCTGCATGAGCTTTCTGTTCTTTGAAGAGCTTTTGGCACGCTGATGCAAGTGTACATCTGAGAACGCTGCTCTGTTTTTGACAGGAAGATGCTTTTCGGTCTTTGTTTCTTCCACGCCCTCATTCAGGACCGGACCAAGGATTCATCCTTCAGGTTGCTTGTCCTTGTGGCATCTCTCAGAAGGAAACCACTCTTGTGTGTCCAGGAGCGCTGTACCTACGGTCCTCTTGGCTGGAACATCCCGTGTTGCTGGCATGGTTCAGCGGAGGTCCATTGCTGCCTAAGAATTTGCTGTCATTCTCCATCTCTCCAGGTATCAGTTCTCAGAACCTGACCGGCAGATCTGTATGATGCAGCTCAGGAGTCATGTCAAGATTGGCAACGCGATTTAGGACAACTCACGGACAGCCAGAGTCACTTGCAGGATGTTCTTGGAAGAGAATGACTCGGTTCCATATGCTGCTCTCCGATACACTGCTGCAGAGGTCAGGGCATCGTTACTGCTGCTGCATCCCTACGTCAGATATGTGTGGACTGAACTTATCCGTTTGTCTGAAACTACATGGTATATTCTGCAGGCCAACTACGGTGGCCGCGTCACTGACGTTCATGATCGCAGTGCTCTCAGTTTGCAGAGGTCGGTACGGCTGTCGGACTCAGAGTATATGGGTTTGTATTGTCATGTCTGGGGCAGCTACGGCTCACCTCTGTCTGGGGTTTAGAGCAGTCTCACGTTCTTAGGGTGCTTTTTGTTACCTCCAGTTTGTTGCCCGGTCACCTCAGTGGACCAGGTTTGCTAGCCATAGTTCCTTTGCAGGTGTACGGCTTAATTATCAATGATTTCAAGCAGGCCTTGGGGGGTGGAGTTTGCCAGCCCTCGTGGTCTCCATGCTTCGTGGGTTTGGGGGAAGATTCTTGAGGCAGACTATAGAGTCGAGTTCTCCGACGAGCAGGGCAATTGATCGTTCCAGTAGCGGAGGTCGCTGCATCAACTTCCTGCTCACAGACTTCTACTGCCCAGAGATTCTCAAAGATGACTACAAGTTCTCTGCCCACCTGACATGATTGGTGCGGGGTAAATTGGCTTGCTTTTCTGCAAGTCCTCTTTCTCTCTGGCGCTGCCCTACCTGCTTGCAATTGCCAGCCTTCCGGCGTCTACTACGCGCCGGCCTACTCTGTAAGTTTGGAGCCATACATCGAGCCGCTTGGGCAGAGTTGGCGGGATCATGCGGGATCGGTGATCATGTGCCACATGGCAGTAGGGCTGTCACCAGATGAAAGAGCTTGAAAGGGCAGTCGAGCAGTCGATGCCAGGAATCAAGACGGTCCTGGGGATCGAAGATGATCGGAGGGTAGCAACCTGTACACAACATGTACCAGGTACATCCGGAGCCTGCCCATCAACCAGATGCCAGAGGACCAGTTGCGGGTGGAAAGTTTGAATCGGCCGATAGCAAGATGGTGGCACATCTCTTCTGTTTTTGTGTCTCCCACCTGTTGCACCACTGTGTTTGACACTGCTGCATGTGTGAGCGAGTCCGGGGAAGTGCAGCAGGCGTTTGGACTGCATGCCAATGCTAACCTCGTCGCAGCGATCAGCGAGGCTCGGCAGTGTCCTTTCTAGCTGCATCGTCTGCGTCATGAAGCATTATGAAGCGCAGGCCATGCGCCTATTGGGCACGGCAGCAGCCCTCCAGCCACGCACAGGAGGAGGCCTGGAACACCCCCCCCCCACACGAGAGAAAGTCCAAAGAAGCGCGCAGCTCCTGCCAGGTGGGGGTGGTGCTTCTCAGGACGACGTGGTGATGGAGGTGGGGAGACAAGGGCAGAGCCGAGACTCTTTTCATCTTGTCGTTCCGAGGCTGCAACGAAGTATCTCGAGGAGGTGCGGCCGCCTTTCGACACGGAGGCGGGATGCCTTGATCGTTGCAAGCAGTTGCAACACGTCAGTTTGCAGCATCTTCCACAGTTCACCTAGGTGCTTATCTTTTGCTCGTTCTAAATGTCCAGCTGTCGTGGGGATGCACAGCAAGCTGTGCATGCGCCGCTGTAGAATATGTTAGGGAGTGGTCTGACTTGAGGCAGCAGGTGGTCTGTCAAAGAGTCTTCAGCCTCGTGCATTTTTTGAGAGGCTAGCAACGCGAAGTATCCTGTGGACTACAACGAGTCCATGAATACCGTCCTCAACCAAGCGGCTTGATTGCAGAGAGCTCAAAGGTGATCGTTCGGTTAGATCAGGCATTGGTTTGCTTCAGGCTCCAGGTGTGTTTTGCGGCTGAGTGTTGCCGCTGGCCGTACCTCTACGCATCCTTGCAAGGCGAGCGCACTCCAGATCTTCGCCTAAGTTTCAGTTCCCCCGATTCATGTGGCACAGAAGCGGCCCAGGAAGAATCGCATCTCGCCCGAAATCCTTAACATGCGTCCCTGAACCCTAAACCCTACAGCAAAGGAGCTTCTTCGGTTCAACAAGCTCATTGCGAAGGTCCGAAGTGTCTTCGCCGGCATTGTGATGGCCCGATCCAACTCGCCTGGTAGGCAGTTTTTCCCGCAGGACAGTCTCACCTCATACCAAAGCGATGGAAGCAGCATCGCTCGGGGTCCTCCTAGCCTTTGCAGCTCTTTTCCAAGGTACCCTGACTGACGTGAAGAAGGCTGTCAAGGGTGTCTTGGTCTGCAGATCTTATTTTATCATTAGCATTACTATTATCATTATTGCCATGTTGAGCTAATTGTCAGTCTAGTCTCAGTTTATGCTTGAAACGCAAGCAAGAAGGAGCTCGGAGAGTCGTCTCTGGCTGTTTGGTTTCAGTGCCGAAGGCTTGGTGGTGATGAGCGCTGAGCTCGAGATGTTGGCGGACGGGATCCTGACGGATCGCACTCCATCGGCTCCCCGGTGCAGGGTTCAGGGTTACTGGTTACAGCAAGGGCTCCCGGTTTGGGGTTTGGGGTTTAGGGTTAATGGTTTAGGGTTAATAGCTGCTGTAAGGGTTTGGGGGCAGGGATACACCTTCTCCGGTCAGGTGAAACTTCGCATTTGCGGAACCACTTGACGGGGTGAGTTCCGGTGGTGAGAAGTCAAATTGTCGCTGTGAAGTAGCGAGGCTACGTCACAAGAGGGTGGGATATTTCCTAGGAATCTGTGAAACTATGCGACAGACTCCAAGGTTTGGATCGAAGTGTCGTACCCTTCCCTGAAGCCCATGGTGTCCTACGTCGCGGACCTTTGCGCCAGCACCATGCCAGCATTGCAGCTTCAAGGCGACCCGTGATGCAAGAGACCGATTCCCTCAGGAATCGAGTTCTTCCAGAAATGGATTGACGAAGGCATTCCTGAAGCATTCTGGTTGTCAGGCCGGGCAGGAGTGCAGGACTAACCATGATACCGTAGTGCTGCGCGACACCCTAAAGCCCGAATCCGCGGGGTATGGTACTTGTAACGTGCGTTCTGTGACTCACAAAGGCCAGCTACTCGGCGCTTGACAAGGGGAGCGAATTTGATATTTACTGTGATCTTGGTTTCCGTGATCCTTATGACGACCACTTTTAATCAGATATCAGGTCGAAGATTTTGGGCTTATCAAAGGCTTGAGCTTTGGGTTCACGGTTTTCGCTTAACCTTCAGGCTTCAGGGTCTTTGGTGATTTAACATCCCCGCATCTTTCTCAAGTTGGCAGCCGCTCATCTGTGCTCCAAAGCTTTCGTAGCCTTCTGTCAGAGGCCCTCCGCATCGCCCACATGTCCAGGCTTCTACTTTACTCAATCCTTTCTGACGGGCCAGCTGCAAAACTATGCCCGGACTCTGAAGCTGCCCATCGACACGCCCCCCAGCTTGGGTCGGGAGTTGGTTCTGAGGATTCTGCAGAGATTGGGTTCAGTGGAGAGAGGAGGCCCAGGTGAGGAACTTGAATCTGCTTGCAATCAGTTCTGCCGCAGCTGCCCAATCTGTGCATATGTGTGCTATGAATCTCGACAATGATTGAAATCTAGGGTGTCCCGGTTCCCGCTCCAGCTCTGCTTTCTTCCCAGGTTGATCTGGAACTTCAAGGTGCTGAAGCATTCGGCAGAGCTCAGTCGACCGGCTTCGGGCTGCTTGGCCTACGGCATCTTCGTGGACGGAGCGCGCTCCTACGCTGCACCCCATGGCGCCCCATGTCGCCTTGGGCCTAGAAGTCCACCCGCCCTAAACCCTAAACCCTAAACCCTAAACCCTAAACCCGTGACCTTCGAGGGCCTCATTTCATAGACCTCGGCGTTTTAGGCGGACGGCGGTTTCACCACGCGAGCCTTCCCTCCAAGATCGCACACCTCCACGTCAAGACCCTGACCTGAAGAGCTTAATTAAGTCGTAGCTGAGCGAGTTGACAGGTTGGGACGACGACGACAGCGTGATAGCGGAGAGCCTTCCGAAGGTGTTGTTCAGTTCCCTGGCTTGAGATAGCGCGACTTCATGCATCCTCTGGCATTCAACATGTCAGTGATGACGTCCCTGCCAGCGCTGCTTTCACAAGCTCCTATGCTTGACGAGTGCATTCGTCGAGCTGCCATGGCCAGACACAGAGAGCGTCCTTAAGCGGCCACGCAATGTGTCTGCAGGTGGACTACCGACAATTCACCTCACACCATGTGAGACGTCGAAGGCTGAAAGTGAAGTTTGAACGGCAAAGGTCCTGAGGCTGCACACATCGCAGTCCGCCAGGACCCTACAGACCGCCGAACGGTCTATCCATCACCACTTTACAAAACGTCAGAGGCCGAGTTGTTTGTGTTGCGTGTGTCAAGGTCCCACTGCCTCCAGTGCTGCACAGAATCTATAATGTAAAGGCAGAGCGAGCCTCTGCCGTCGGCTTCCGAGGTCGGGCCGCAAAGGCACGCTAACCACCACCGGCCACAGCACGAACTTTGTCATGACGCTCCTTCTTCCGAGTCTAGGTCGCACATTCCTGCGCTTGGCCGCGGGTTCCTGCATAAGGTATCTCCGAGATCCTAGCGGCCAAGTCTTGCAGTGCAGCTGCTCACATTTCTCGGGTTTGGGGTGAGGATAACGAAGCAGCACACAGAGAAGTACTGGGCGAAGCGTGGCGTTGCCTGTCTCCTGCAGCTGGACGACTGAGTAGGGACGAGCTTAAGAAGACCTCCGATGACATTTACCGGCTCCGGCTTTGAGCTGAAGCCATCCTGTAATTTTTTGTTGACTAGCCGAAACCTGGCATGTCTCACTGAGAGTGGCCTGTGTCCGAGCATGTATGTCAGCCTTAAGCCTTTGTTCTTGCGATGTTGCATGATACATCGACAGTTGTTGGGCTCAGCCTTGGTGAGATTCGTTGCCACGAGGCTTGCAAGCAACATCGAAAGTTCATAGCTTGGTTGCGGTTGGTTACAGACAAGATCACACGCTCTGTGTCCCTCTGCTTACAGACTGGTACGAGCAGTCGGTTCACGGTTCGGGTCGAAGGGACAGAGCCGTACTCGGCAAGACCTGGCAGAACTTGTCGATGACGTGGCCAAGCTTCTTCACGAGTCCTGCAGGGAGTTGCTGGTTGTTCTCAACTGGCTCCCGACTCACTGCAGGGTGGATCGTATGTCCTGCGCAGGCAGGTATCTGGTGACAAACACTGTCGCCAGCCTCCTAGGTTAGTGTACCCAGCCATAGCAACTCTGAAAACTGGTGTCCATTACCCACAAGAGCAGCAGCTTGATGCGCGCCAGTTGTCGGAGAAGCTTGTACATGAGAGATCATGGACGTTCGGCGCGCGAAGATCGCAGCCGTGCAACAAGAGCGGTCTTCAGCTTTGATTGCCGTGCCTGGTGCATGAACGTGTACAGACGTGTCTTGTCCGGCAGGTCATCGGATCTCGAGATTCACAGACATACCACAAGTCGTTTGAATCAAGAGGCGGAGCCAGGGCAGGTTGTTCCATACTTCAAGACTGCCCCGGTTCCTTTCGGCCCGGAAGCCTTTGCTGGCTTGCAGCTAAAGGCCGGTCGCAGAGCCAGTGACGGCTGGAAGAGACATAAAACAAAGAAGCACCACAGCTCCCATCAAGACTCAGACACTGCCAGCTTCACAGATGGCATGCAATAATGCCTTCGAGGCCATGTCGTGAGACTTATTCGCAATAGTAAGACCCAGACGAGCACCCAGCGGTCGAAGGCAGGGTGCCAGACTGAGTGAAAGCGAGGTGAAAGAACTTCTTTCAAGCTTGGCCCCTTTCCAAGCTTGTCGCGTTTACTCGATAGTGCAGGTCGCCATGGAGTTTCTCGCAGCAGGAGTTGGAGGTGCTGCCATATGTTTTCGGCATCGGGGTATAAATGCCGATGTAAGCTAGTTAGAGACCTGCAATGCATTGAAGACTTCCTGGCCAGCTGGGCTCCTCAACTACAACCGGAAGAACTTCATGTTCGACAAGGCCGTGGACCAAGCTGACCATCCCTTTCCCTGCCCTCCCTTCTTCCCTCCCTCCTCTCTCTGTGTAAAGGGCCTCAAGTGTCGCGCTACTGTGCTCCCAAGTGTTGCGCAGAACATGCCTTGGCTGTACCTAGGAACAGTATCGGGAACGCGCTTACTTCAGCCAAGAGATGAAGGTGTCCAAATACGAACTCTACCGGGAGGACTCGATGTGGCTGCTGTTGTTTGCCATTCACTCGGATTTGATGTTTCATGGCACTGCGCTGCAGGACATCAAGGACTTGACAGATCTCACCGTGTCCAAGATGGACGCACCCAACTGAGTGGGACAAGACGGGCGGAAAGCATGTGGCATGAACCGCGACTGACCCCACGCTACCTGAACCGCGTAGTCAAGTTAACTAGACCCCGCACCCGAAATCCTAAATCCCTTGACCCGAAGCCTTATCACCCTAAAGCCCTCAGCGCTAAAGTCCCAAACCTTAAGTCTCCAACACCTTTAACCCAATCAACAACATGTTGACGCCACACTGTGGACAGTAGCCATAGCCGGTATTGGCATGCTCGTCTTTACGGTGGTGCCTGTTTTGCAGCTCAAGATCTTTTGTGATCTGGGAGGTGTGGGGGTTGATTCGAGCGAGCGCAGTCTTTCTCAATGGAATTCGGCCCAAGTCTTCCTGTTCTTCGCAGAATGCGCATCTGCGGGTATGCAGCATGACGTTCTGCGTACTTAGTTCACTGCTGAGGTGTACATGGTGATCAACGTCTTGCAACTTCTGCTCGGGTCCTCAATGGCAACTGATAGACTGATAGACCAACGTTCCATTCACTACCGCTGTCCAGTCCTGGTCCAGTCACTCGCTGGGAAACTCTCGCCGAGGTTCTGCGTGATGTTGTTCACGGAAGGAATGCCAAAACCTCGAACGACTCCCTTGTGGTTGCACTGGTCAGAAGCTGAATAAACAACCTGCCTTTTCGCTTGCTTGCGTGTGCAGAGTGTCCAGGATTCTAGCTGCAAGCAGTGGTTCTGCCGTCCTGTACTTCGTGCTGAGCCCGGCCCTGAGAATGGACACCTGAATTGCAGGTCCGTTGTGCTACTTTGGAATTTCACCAAGGCATCTGGCTTGGCATGCACGCATCGATCGCTGCACACTCCTTCGGCGTATCTTGCCTGTAGTGTCAAGTCCGCAGTGCTTGTTATCATTTAGTGTTCTGGTCATTGTGTTTCGCCAAAAGCACAGGTCAGGCTGCTGACACAGTTCGTGCCGTCCTCGTGCGGGCAAGGGAGCTGCTTCAGCAAGTTCTAGGGCGTGCAAGCTTGGCGAGCAGAGTGAGTGGTGAGAAGGGTGCCCCATCAGTGACAGTGTGCGGGATTCAATCCGACAGATTGTCTACTGCGCCAAGTAGCGCGGCCCATCATAGCTTCGACCAGCTGTAGCACCTCCATTCACGAAGGTTCGGCTGCCGGTGCCCAACTTGCAGCAGATTCACAGAGCCGCAGCCAAAGCCAAGGTGGGCACTACTCCGAATTCAGAGCATCCAGAGAGATTCATTCTCAAGTGCGCATGCTGTACGCCTGTCCAAACTTTGCGTGTTGTTTGGGAGCCTTCCATTTCTGTGCAGGACTACGAAGCTCTCAGTTTAACCGACATGCTTCGAATCCCGGTGCTACAGCAGCAGTTCAGGCTGGGTCGTAAGTTCAAAAAATCAGAACCCAAAGCGTTTGCCGACTCCTGACTGCTCTCAGGAAGCTCAGTGCCACCTTAGGCAATCTGTCGTCGCGCTCTCGGATCAGCAGGGTATGGGCCGAGACAGTCGCGGCCGTTGAAGTTGGCATCTCGGCCAAGGTTTGAAACCCCGGCTGAGGATACGACCGGCCTGGATGACTCTTTCCTACCGGAGGCGGTTTGCTAGGACGCGACTCTGGGACTTCGGATCCGCCAATGCCCTGAGAGGTGTACATGCCTTCGCTGGAGGAGACAGCGGCCTTGCGGCCGTGCACTGAGACCGCTCCCCTCAAGTCGTTGAACGGCTGCCTACTGCTTTGTTTGGGAGTTTGTTGTGGCCAGGCATATCCAATTGTACAGGGAGCTTCAAGCAAATTGGCAGGCATGGAAAGTGTTTTGCTGTGGTCTACTGAAGTTCCAGTGCTTCATGTCCTCATAAGCCCGGTATAAACCCCGGAGCCCCAAAATCCAACATAGACATGGAAGGCCTATGATGCGTACTGCCGCGTGCCGGCGTCCTCAGCACCGAGCAGAGCACATGAGCTTGAAGTGTCGGCTCTACCTGATGTGCAGTGCTGTACGTGGTGGAAACCCCAGCCCTAGAACAAGACGACATAAGGAAGAACAACAGAGATCGGTGGTTCCGCGCTCTAGCTGAAGCTGAAAGGTGCATGGCCTTGGGCACAAACCAACTCCTGCAGTCGATCAACGCCTACTGCCTGGGTGCGGGCGCAAGAACATTTGGAAAGACGCCTCCCCGGATTCCGGTTCGTTTGGGCAGGTGTTCTGCTTTCCGAGACGAGCAGTGGATGGGCAGCTGCGTGCTGCATGGCTGTGACTTGGATTTGCATTTGGGCTGCTGGAAGCGAAGGTTTCAGGAAGGGCCTGGGGCAAGTCACCCATGGTCTCCGAGTCAACAGCTATTGAGGCTTTGTGAGAAATAGCTATGGCAAAGATTATCCCTGTCCTCTTTTTCCATGCCCTTCCCGTCAATAGCTGGTCTCAAAGACACCACCTTGATCCGATTGCCTGAGATGTCGGAGATCGCGCTCAGCTCAGGTGATCGGCTCGGTGTCCTGGCTCGTCGTGAGGCCATGTAGACTGAGAAGAGCATGTGTGTCATCTCATCCCTGCTTCGCGGGGCAGGTTGGACGTGCTTGTCAGCTGGAGGATGTTGATGATGGCCTTGGCCTTCCAGACATGTTTCCCACGTTGAGAGCAACCCGCCGACAGCTAGTTGTAGGATGCCTCAAGTAGGAGGAACTCCCTGCTAGTCTCTGGAATGCATCGCAAAAGCCATCGGAGCGTGATAAGAGTTCTGCCAGGCCCTTCAGTCCGTGCCACAGTTTCACAGGGCTGGGTACGAAGTAGTCCGAAAGTGCTGCGCTTGAGTCTCTTGAGTGTTGACGTAGGAGCACGGATGTCGGAGAGTCTTCCTTGCTGCAAGGCTGGGTATTCCATTGCTGACGCTTTGTTGCCTGGCGACCCAAATCCTGTTCAAGTGGGCTGGCGCTCTTGCTGTGCCCGGCCTCAGTGAATCTCTGCAGTTGCACAACCTGCAGAAGAAGTTATCATTGTTATCATGCAAACGCATGCCATTGCGATGTGGCTGGAGAGATGTGGCGAAACACGGGGTGACCCCCTTTCCAGGGCCAATTGTCACGACGGCCTGCCGGCATCGAAACTTTGGAAGCTGTTCGCAAGCAGTGATCTGGAAGGCAAAAACGACTTGCCGAAACAAACCCGCAAAAGGCAGACATGCAATCATGAGCACACTGCTTTGAGGCCCCTCCACGGGATACTCAAGTCGTATAAACAGGCGGAAAGAGATGTGCCCACCGGCAGTAATCTCAAAGTTGGCCCAACAGGCGAGGTTGCCGGGACCTGGAGAGGAAGATTGTCAGCGCAGTGTGAGTAAGCCATGCGTTAGTGTCAGCTTCCTGCATATCGGGGTATTGCCACAAAGACCCCAAACTCCCAGGTAGTATTAGGGAGACCCCTTAAAGGGGACCCTTCTTGACCCTACTTATGGCCCTCTTAATTGTAACAAGGACATTTTTGAGAGGGTCTGTATCCCCAAGGGTCCCCTTAATCCTAAATCCTACAAACGCCCCACGGGTATTCGTGCTTCTCGCGTTTTAAAAGTCGCTTTTTCGATAACCTGCTCTCAGCTCGTCCGCGTTCTCGTGCCGACGATCTTTGCCAGCACCTCAGCAAAGGGGTCCAGTGGAAGGTTTAGGGTTTGGGGTTTAGGGTTCTCCGTGGAAGTGCCGGCAGGGGATAGCGGAGAAGCTTTTGCACGCGTGGTAGGGGCACACAGTGGTGCATTGTGCACTCTCTTCTGCTCGTTCCGCATGTGTGCACCGGTGTGTTCGCAGGGCTCCAGCGCAGGTCTTGCATCTCTTTTGGATGGTATGCTGCCTGAGACTGGCCGCAGCTCGGTGCTGAGATCTGACAGGGCTTCACGTCAAGCTGCCACTGTTCTCTGAACATCAGAGATTGTTGACATTTGGTGACCATTGCACTGCGATGAGGGACGTGGTGACAAAGTCTCACTACCTGGAAAGGCCGCATCATGGAAAGCCGTGTGACAGTCATGCCATTGCTCTGAGTCATTCGCGGAGCGTCTGCATATGATCTTGGCCGGGGTACCCTGCTATGTGACGTCGTGCATTCTGCACAGTTCCGCGGCGTGCTCTATTTGGACGTGTTCGGCTGGCTGTCTCCCGAGGCCTAGCATAGGACAGCGACGTTTCGGCTGCATCGCTCGCCTTGCATTTGGATGTAACGAAGGGAGAAAGCCCTCGTGCCGCTCCGCGACGACGCGAGGAGGCTAATCTTGCTGCTGGCTAGATAGCTCTAAATGGTAAATCACATGTACGGCACACATTGGGAGTTGAGTCGGGATGAAGTTTTCCTTTGCCTCCCTTCTCGACCGAAAACTCACTGCTGCTCATGTCCTTTGAAGCTCACAGTCTTCGTGGCTTGGGCAGGTCTCCGATTCTGCTGCAGTTTCCCACAACCTTCAGACAACAGAGGCAAGAATAACAAGAACCTCACTGTCAAAGTAAAGGTTTCGGAGTTGGGCGCAACATCCGCGCAGGCATCCGAAATGCATCCTGCAGCTGATTGTTGATTATGTCGAATGAAACGCGAGGAAAAACGTGGCTGCCAACTCAAGGACATAAAAAGACACAAACACCATTGGCAGACAGTCACCCAACACAACCCACGCGGCAAGAGCACAGCACCTGCAGAAACGGTCTCAAGTCACTTCGTCGTCCGCAGATCTCGATTGTTGTGCATGTTTTCGTGTCCAGCGAGGTAGCACAGGGCAGCATGTGCCTGTGTATTCTTGACATGTTCAGGTTCGAGAGTTTGCGCCAGAACGTTCGTAGAACAGGCCACAGCATGTCGAGATCCTCGCATCCGCGAGAAACTAAAATTCTGACATCCATGCAGCTGCACCTTCCACAACAGAGAAAGTTGGAGTGCGAAACATAGGCATTGCCTGCTTCGTTTACTTGTGAACTTTATGGTGGATGCGACTTCTACAATATTGGAACTTGTAGTGACAAGACCATGCTCTGCGAGCTACTTAATGGATGGTCCAGCAGCAGCATGGCCCCCAGATTCTTCCACCCTCGTATGATTCCCTATAATATAGTACATTATACATGATAGTCTAGTATGGTATGGTACAGGATAGTATATGGGGGTTTCCGAAAATAGGGGAGCCTAACATAGTACCCTAAGCAGTAGGATCCTGATTATAAGGACCCCCAAATAAGGTACCCTCATTTTCGGAAACTCCCATATTCTAGCATAGTCTAGTTCTGGTATATGATAGTATACTGTAGTATGGTAGGTTCTCCCATATTCTAGCATAGTACAGTTACGGTATATGATAGTATACTGTGGTATGGTAGGTTACAGCTTTCGACATGTCGACGAAAGGCAGGAGCCCCGGATCCGACGGAGCAGCTCGCAGAAGCTGAGGCCGAGGCCGCCTCATGTCCTCATGCCCGGTTTGGGGTTTGAGGGGTTTAGGGGTT